AGATGACTATTATGTTATATTGATATTGTAATATTCAATAGCTCAGGAGTCGTTTTGTAGTAAAAGAGCTAGGGGAACTCATTAGCATAATGCATTAGCATATGCCACATCCCCTGACACCACCGGAAGTGTGTCATAAGGCCACACCCCCTGACATCACTGGAAGTGTGTCATAAGGCCACACACCCTGCCCCCAATGGTCCCGGCCGCCGGCCTTGCAGCTCCACTGCTGAGCCCCATGAGGGGCCCGGCGGTGGACCTGCGATGCCAGCGGGAGTGTGAGGAAGCCCCGCGAAGGCCCTCCCTGGCCCCAGGCAGGCAGGGGTGGGGAGAGGCAGGGAGGAAGCAACTTACCCTCCCTCTTCTCCTGCCTCCTCCTGGCTGAATGAGGGCCGGAAGCAGGGTGGCCGGAAGCAGGGGGCGGGGCTTCATCATGTGCCCCACCCCCCGTACCTCACCCGGGGGAACTGCGATCCCCCGCGTTCCCCCCCGAAATGACCTCTGCAATAGCTGATTTTTAAAAAAAAGATTGAAAAAGCCCTGCTGTTGTGGTGTGTGCAGGGGGAGAAATGCCTACTGCCAGGGGAACAGGGCAGGAAAAGTACGGGGAAACTTGCCACGTGGAAGCCCTGTTGCTGCTGTGCAGGTACTGGCAACCACACCAACAGCAAGGAAACCACACATGCCTGTCCTTGTGTGGAAAACATCCTGGATAGGTCTTTGGCTACTGCCTTTCACCTAACCGTGATTATTTTTTTTTTAACAGCATTCATTCGGGCAAGACATACAATGTTGTTGCATAGGCTTACGATTTTCCTGCCTGTGGCAGGCCAATTCCCACTTCCAACCTCAATTGTCTGTACTCAATCAGTCAAGCAGCTGGAGAAAAATATGATGGGGGATGTCAGTGCCTAGGGCACTCTGGGATCTCTCCCTAATCTCTGTACTCTTTACCATAGAGATTGGGGAAAATCCTAGAGCGTTGGAGGGGGCTGGGACATCGGTATGCTCCTTAGGCTCCACTCCGCAGTGCTCCTGGGACTTGTAGGCAGGGGCTGGCAAATCTTATGTGTTGCAAGATAACATGTTCTCTTTTTCTACAAAACGACCCCTGGTTGCAAGATAACAAGTTCAATGACAGCAAAACTGAGAATTGGCAGCCAATATGGCAAAGATTGCTATTGATTCAGAGGGGAAAACTGAAAATATATACACTGAAGGCTGTTGAAGAATAGTCAAGACACACCTAGGGAAATTCTCTCTGATTTCCTTTCAACAGATTTTACTGCTGTCACTTGGAAGGGCTAGATATATGTTCTTAACTGTTGTTATTTTTAAGACTTGTGTCTTTGCTACAGAACATTTCATTTTTAAAATTGTGTTTTGTTTGGTAATCAAAAATACAGCAAAGTGTTGTTTTTTAAAGTGCATCAGGAGACACTGAAGAAAACAGAGTTTTCTTTACAGAGAAAGTAGTATCCAGAACTGTGCCAAAGAGCCCTTCCCCATTATTCTTGACTCCGAAGCACTAGAAAAGCAGGAATCTGGTGCTAATTTCTCTTTAAAAGACCGTGCCTGAGCTTGGAGGTTCATATTCCAAAATCCAGACGGGGATGTGACATGCTTTCTCCTTCTCCCTCTCTCTTCCCCTCCTGGCTCCCTGCCAAAGGTCTTTGCTTCTCAGTCAGTCATTTCTCAAGATGAAACCTCTGCTGGTTCCAGCCGTCTTGGTCGCTCTGATGCAACTTTCTCAGAGCTTCTCCGTCTGGTACCACAGAGGCTGGTTGCGACTGCTCAGAGAAGGGGACAGCTGTGGCAACTGCGAGCCAGAACGGTGCGCCGTGCCGACAAACTGCCGCGCCGGAACGGTGTTAGACTCTTGTGGGTGCTGTCCTGAGTGTGCAAACTCAGAAGGACAAATCTGTGACTTGGATGCGAGGAGTAATTTCTACGGCCACTGCGGAGACAACCTGGAGTGCCAGCTGGATGTTGAGGACATTAAATCTGGAGAAATCCCTGAGCCTCAGTGCGTGTGCACATCTCAGGAAAGTGTTTGTGGACCTGAAGGGAAGACCTATGAGAATATCTGCCAGTTCCATGAAGCTTATGCAGAGAAGGGGGCCAACGAGAGCATAAAACACAAAGGACCCTGCGAATCAGGTAAGGAAATGCAAACACAGAGCTTTGGGAGTACAAAGAAAGGAAGCTTGCCGATGTGGGTGATTCCCACTCTCTTTCAGTGCAATGCTGTTTAGAGTCACTCCAGTCGAAGTCTCGCTGAGTTCAGTGGGCTTAGATTGGAGTCACTCTAGATGGGATTAGCACTGCAAGTCTAGCCAATGGGGTGTAGTGATTAGCATGTTGGAATAAAATTGGGGAGATCTGGGATCTAATCTCTCTTGGTCATGGAAACTCCCTGGGTGACCCTGGGTGGGTCACTCTTCTACTGCTTAACCTACCTTTTTGTGAGGATAAAATAA